AAACTAACATGAGTCTCTATAAGTGTCCAGTTTTAGGGTCTTATACAGAATTATACCAAACAACATGAATCAAACATGCACTTTATTTATTTACACTAAATGTCAAAAGTACATCAAATCGGATTGAAGCTAAGGGCATACAAAACTGTCTAACACCTAGTCGTGGTAGTAGACTACTTCACTGAGTGGGTCGAAACCAAGGACTTGGCAACCATTATGGCTAAGACAACTCAAAGCTTCTTTTGGAAGAATATCACTTGTCGATTTGGCATCCCATACATGCTTGTCACCAACAACGACTGATTGTTCGACAATTCCAAGTTCAGAGAATGGTGTGGTACCCTAGGAATAAGGCAGCAATACACCTCGGTTGGCTACCCTCAAACTAACGTGCTAGCCGAGGTCACCAATAGAATGATCCTAGACGGATTGAAGGCAAGGTTAGACAAAGCCAAAGGGCTTTTGGCATATGAGCTGTATAACATTCTATGGGCATACCCAACGACGCCTTAGACTGCCACGGGTGAAACTCCCTTCAACTTGATGTATGGGACAAAGGTTTCCATCTTAGTAGAGATTGGCCAATTAACACTTTGAACCGAGGCATACCAGGAAGCTGTGAATAGTGAAGAGTTAAGGGACAACCTTGACCTGTTAAAAGGTGTCCAAGAGCAAATCCAAATTAGGGTTGTGGCCTACCAGCAAAGAGTTGCAAGATATTACAACTCCCGAGTTAGAGAGTGTCGCTTCAAGGAAGGTGACCTCATCCTCAGAAAGGTCATGGTTCATGAGCTCGGCATCGAAAAGCTTGGCCCAAACTAGGAAGGGCCCTATAAAATCAAACAAATAGTAGGGCCTAACACCTTTTCAGTTGGAATATATGGGTGGTAGACTAGTTCCTCGTACCTGGAATTCTGAAAATCTTTTCAAATGTACTATCAATAGAAGTGTAAATACCTTAACGGAAAATTGTAAATGAAAAGTGCAATTTCCTCTTACTTCAGATCTTTCTTTGTGTAAACATTCTTGTCCCCTCTAGCTGCCAGGACCCCTTGGCCAACCAACCGCAGTATACAACCTTTCTTAAGGTTATACACTCAAACTAGATGCCGGTCCTCTCAGTCGATCGACCACAGCATAGGACCTTCCTTAAGATTATACGCTCGAACCAAGTGTCGGCCCAAGGCATACGATACTTTGCGAGTCATATGACTAGTTGCCTTTTGATCTTCTTTCACTAAGGCAAGAGATTTTAGGACCTCAGTAGCTGTTGATAAGTAGTCCACGACCTCGGGCCTGGCCTCAAAGACCCTTTGGCTCTATTTGGTTTGTGGGGTGGGGATGAAAAAAGGGAATATTCCAAAAATATTTTGTTTTCTCATATTTGTTTTGAGGGAAAGAGTGGGATGGGGTGAGAAAAAGGTGGGATTCCAGATCCCAAAATCAAGGATTCGGGGTCACACCAAAATCGTGCAACCCCGGTGGAAAAACTCGAGAAAACTTGAGATCATCTTCATCCTCATTGCCACTGCTGGTAATCGCCACCATCGCCACCACCGCCGATAACAGATCGTCTTCATCCTCCCTCATGCATATGCTGGTAATCACCGTTGTCAGTAACAGATCTGCTGCTGTTGGTTTCGTCTTCTACCTTCGACTCAAGACGCCTTATCGTAGCTGCCCAAGTAAAGAAACTCAGGAAAGACCTCTGATGGAAAAGCACTTGTTTGAATGCCCAATTTTTCAGATGAAGTGGGAATCCAATGACCACAAACCCCACAAACTTCCCCTTCTTCATACTTGTGATAATCTCCACAAACCCCGCATGGGTTCTCTCTCCTTCTTCCTCATGATTAAATACAACGATCAAAACAGACCTAGATGACAAAAACGGCCTCGTAGATCGGAACAACTTAAACCAAAGTGTGACGAAGGCAGCCCAGGAGATAAAGAGGAAGAAATTCAGGACTAGGAAAAGCTTAATTTACTAGGCTTTAGATCGGATTGATTGTCACAACACAATTGAGTAATTTAGAACTTTTTAGATTTAAATTTGTCTCAGCCAGTCAATCTCTCAGATGTTGTCCTTATCGGCACCAACTAGAAACCAATAGCGGCAGAAGGTAGGAGATGAAACAGATCTGCCACTGCTGTTACTAGATTTGCCGCTGTCAGTAACAGATCTGTTGCTGCTGGTAACACCATTGATGACGATGGTAGGCATTCACCGGCAATAAGGGTGGATTGAACCTCCAAGATCTCTGTTTAGTCTTCATCCTCCCTCTGCAGATTGAACCTCCAAGACCTCAGTTTTGTCTTGGATAATTTTCCTTCTATTTTCCCATGTAAAACCGAACACTGGAAAGCTAAATTTTTACACTTTCCCATGCCATGCCATCCCATCCCATCCCATCTTTTCCCATCCCACCCAAATCTTCCCATAAACCAAAAGGATCCTAAAAGAAGCCTTTGTGAAGGACAAAGAGTTGATTCCGACAAATTACTTAATAAAAATATGATGAACGACACACTAAGTAGACAATACTTCTCCACTAAGGCAACCACTCATGACCTCAGCCATAAAACCCCCACGGAATGACGCATTAAGCAAAGGGAATTTTTCACTAAAGTAAAAAGTTCTATGACTTTAGCAACTGTTATCGAGCAATTTCACAGAACGTCTTCACGAATGGCTAAGTAAAGATCACTTTTGCAAAAAAAAAAAAAAGAGATACTTTATTATAGAATTGTAAGTTTCTTTACAAAAATGCCTCTTTGGGGGAGGCATTGGCCCCTTGCCTTGTAGAAAAGAAGAAAGATAAGAATATAATTTTTTGACAAGAAACTCAAATTCTATTAACTCAAATGTCTTTACAAAAATAAGGCCTCTTATGGGGGAGGCATCAACCCCTTACAAAAAAAAAGGAGGGAGCGTAAACAAGTACATGGAATAATCATAAAAAAAGGGGACATTAGCCCTGGAAAAATATTCTTACTAGGCATCCCTAATTTGAACCTCGACCTTTGCATTCTCTTCAGCTGTTACATCCTGCCTGATGGTCTGGTGAGTGCCGTCCTGAGCATCGAACGTGCCCACCACATCGACCTCCTGTTGGTTCTCGCTGAAGGGATCTAGCTAACTAACGTCAAACTTCGAGAAAAACTTCGACACATGGACTCTGTAGTCCTCATACCCCTCTAAGTGGGTTGTGGAATTGAACTTAGCCAAGTCCTTCTTGTGCTCCTCCGAGGCCTTATAATCCTCCATGGCTCGAGAAGACGTCTCCTGAAGCCTCTGCTCATGGACTCCAACATGAACTTCGCAAACCTCAGCTGATCTTCTTTGTCGCTACATTGACCTCGAGTTTCTTCCAACACTCGTACTCCTCACAAGCCTTCCCATTAGTAGCCTCTCAGCTAGCTGGCACCTTAGACGCTCGGTCTCTTCTTGTGATTGGTTCATTTGTTGTACCAAGACCTCCACTTTGTCGCAAAGGCCCACTTCGCAAGAAGCCACCTGCAAAAGAAGAATAACCTCACATTAGGTGGAAAATTTTAACTAAGGGAGAAAGTAACATCACTAAGGAAACAAGATTGGCTATATGAGTCTGTTTGACCATTCCATTGTGTTTAATATCATATGCATCGGTAATTTACCAGTATTGTGACATTTACTTAACCATCTTATTCATTTAAATTAAAAGTTGGTACATGAACATTTGGACATTTGGTCAGTTCTATATTTTATATCTATTGTCTAGGGAGATTGGTCGGGATGGCTTAATTGGGTATTGGATCGGGTTCGGGTTGAGGCAACCCCGCAGGTTTGGTTTGGTTTCTTACTAAAAAAATATGGGTTTTTTGGTAAAGAAAAAAATACGAAAAAGTACAAATAAGCCTAATGCAAATTTCTGATTTTCACAGCAGATCTATAAATATTCAAAAGAATATGAGTTTTTTTGGTAAAGAAAAAAATACAAAAAAGTACAAATAAGCCTAATGCAAATTTCTGATTTTCNTATGAGTTTTTTTGGTAAAGAAAAAAATACAAAAAAGTACAAATAAGCCTAATGCAAATTTCTGATTTTCACTGCAGATCTATAAATATTCAAAATGTAAAAAAATCACATTTTATGCATTCATATTCATCCAAATGCCAATTTTGAGCTGGCCCCAATCGCACTTTGTGCCTATGAATTCTGATGCTGGGCTAAACCGTCATTCTCCCAAAAAAATATGAATTTGGTTGGGTACAAGTGCACTGTAGTGAATCGATAATCTTTTTGTTGGGTTCGGGCCGAAATCCCACCGGATCGGGTATAGAGTTGATATCCCTATCCACGCTACAAAAAAAGTACGGTAGAATCGGCTTCATTTAATGCTTGCCATTCACCAACAAAATATCGTCGTGGAGTTTCGGCCGTTGGTTCTTTTCTTCGAAACCCTACGAGTAGGATTAATAATGTACTCGTAGAAAATTTCGGTTTTTAATTTTTTTATTGCCTTTACTCATATCATATGTATATCCATCGGCCGATATTTCGGTCTTTGAAGACATCGTGCAATACGGAGCCGTACGAGATTTGTATTCCCCAGTCTCTTTCTTTTTTTTGTTCTGTAATATTGTAATCTGTATTACTATTACCTAGGCTTCACACGATTCATTTGTTCGCAATCCTCTGCCGTAAGAGAGGTTTTGCCACGTGGAGAACATTTTGGCATATTTAAACCGTCTATTACATCATTGAAAATCTGAACCATTTTCAATTAGTCACGTTTATCCCAAACGGCCCCGTCAGCTTCAATTGTACATACCGTTGGAGTGCATGGTCACACCTTTTGCAATTTTCAAACGACCACGTGTTCGACTGCTATTGACTCATATCTCACACTTAGACTCATTTGGATGTTAATTCATCTGCCACCTGGCAAGATAGAGTATTGCGAACTTCGACGGAAGAATAAACGGCAGCAGCAAGAGAGCGAGAACAGGAGAAGCATACAAATCTTCGTCATTTGTGTCATATCCTCCTTTCTCGTCTCAGAAATAAGAAGGAGATTAACAGAGCCCCCACTCCTCTCTGTTCTGTACCTCGAAGAAGTGATCGATGCTGCTCATAAATACTTTAGCCCTAGCTCGAATGACGACGAAAGGTTTCCTTCTGGAAAGCAATGGTATCACCTTCGGATCGTTCTGGTGGTTCACATACGCTGGGATCTCATGCATCCTCGTTCTCTTTGGAGGGATCATGTCCGGACTCACGCTAGGATTGATGTCCCTGGGTCACGTCGAGCTTGAAATCCTTCAGAGAAGTGGAACCTCTACGGAGAAGAAGCAAGCAGGCCAGTTGTTTCTTCAATTCTAATGGCTTTTACTCTCTCTCATTCTCCTTTAGATCGGCGAAGAGATGGTAGAAATTGGGAAATGTAGTCTATAAACTGCTTGTGGATTTTAGGCATATAATTAATGTCTGAGCGAGCCTGGAAGTTGTTCTGTTTTGGCTTGCAATTGTTCTCGGAAATAAGATAAATGAGAGGAAGAATCACTTTTCTTTGTTCCGAATGCTGAAAATTAGTAGTTTCTTATTGGACATTCGATGGGTTTATTATTGTCCTGGTTATTGAATTGGTTCTCTTGAGTTTGCGCTGGATTTCTTTTAGAGACTTTTTCTATTTGCTACTGTGTTACTCTGTCATTTTTTTTTTCTTTAACCCCCTCATGAATTTAGAAAATCCAGATTCGCACTGCTTTTGCAAATTTAGGCGTCAAGTTAACATATGCAGATTTAAAAATGTTTATTTCTAGCGAAAGTAAAAGAATTATGACAAATTCAGTGGTTTTTGTCGCACTGGTTTTACTGCTACTATGCATTAAAAAGAACAAAATTCTCTTTCTTGACTTGATACTTAATCCCCAGTAGAATCTGACGCGACTTGGGTCAGCATTAATGATATATGAAATACCACATTTTTCCCTTTTACTGTGGTGTTTTTCTCTTTCTTGACTTGATACTTAATCCCCAGTAGAATCTGACGTGACTTGGGTCAGCATTAATGATATATGAAATACCACATTTTTCCCTTTTACTGTGGTGTTTTTCTAATGCCAAAGTACAAATGCCTGAAGAGACATGATACATTATAAATTTAAACCCCTTTACCCTATGACTGAAATTGCATTCCTTGTTTGGATCATATTATAAAATTCTTACATATTAAAATTTTCATGTAACTCCTAGTTTTCTTTTTAATCTGTGACTGGTTGTCCCTTTCTTCATTCAGCTGCCATCCTTCCAGTTGTTCAAAAGCAACACCAGCTTCTTGTGACTTTGCTTCTATGTAATGCTTGTGCAATGGAGGTACAGTACTGGATTTTATTTTACTTCTATTTCTCATAAACTAAGCATCAAATCTTCCCGTAACTGTTTATGTAGAATGCCTCTACTTGTAACCTATAGTCCTTGCCTCCTTGGCATACTCTACTAACTAGAAGGTGATCGTGCCTATGCAACAACTATCATACACACAGTTCAGATGAATTAATCCGTATCCAACTATTAGGGGCTGGTTACATGAATCTATTCTACCACTATCCTATGCTTGCACTCTTATCTCCTGTTAAATGGTATCTCCCAGTTTCACAATAGAAATGATGCAATTAATGAAAAAAAGAGGCAGGAATACAGAGAAACAAAGAAAAATCAGAAAGGGGTCCTTCAGAGTATTAAAATAGGGAGCATTGTAAAAAAAAAGCTAAATGCAGTTAAGCAATTATATTTTTTTTATCAGTAGCAGTTGCAAAATGATATTAATACTTTAAACTGTCAAACATTATTAGATATAAGAATGTCAAATATAATTTTACAATTTTCAATGCATATATAACATCATAATCGTCTGAGCTTTGTGACATGATATTATATATACAACTATGCAGTACAATTTGGAGTACCATTTAGAAGCTACAAATCCTTAGTTCAAAATTTAAGTTGGTTTTCCTTGGTTCTTCAATTAACTATTATAAATTTTCCTCGGAGCATTTAATTCCATGATCTACTTTACATTGATTTTTTATTACATCATAATTAACAATTTTCTATTTACTTATCAAAAAATTAACAATTTTCTTTATCATTGAGTTACTGCCTGCAGGCCCTTCCCATATATTTGGATAAGATCTTCAATCCCGTTGTCGCTGTTGTTCTTTCAGTAACTTTTGTTCTAGCTTTTGGAGAGGTTTGTTATATTTCTAACTTCCTATTGCTTTAGAATAAGTTATTTGAATTGTTTATGTAAAAGGAAGTGAAGAATTTCTTGCCATTTTCCACCAGGTTATTCCACAAGCAATATGCACTAGATATGGACTTGCTGTGGGTGCGAATTTTGTATGGCTTGTTCGTATTTTGATGATAATTTGCTACCCAATATCTTATCCTATTGGAAAGGTAATTTCAATTATAGGTAATTTATAAAAAAAAAGGTAATTTCAATTATAGGTAGTTCAACTGTAATAATTCTTTCTTACAAACCACGTATTTAACACAACTGATTTTTTTTTTCAATACTTAAATATGCTCATTGTATGATGGAATTGGCAACAAACTCCTTGGTCTAATCTGATTATTGTCTATGAAATCAGAAAAAGGGCCATTACCAATGATGGTCCCACTGTCCCAGCAATCCGGGGTCTTGGGTGGGGTAAGCTGGACATGGACCTAACCTTTGGCATTTCCTTTTTCTTTTCTTTGTTTTTCTCTTTTTTTCTTTCTCTTTTCTTGGCAAAAAGCGGTAACTCTCAGGCTCAAATTACATTCTTGTGCTTGTCATCCTGAGATTTACCATTGCACCAAGCAATGACCCCTTGTCTCTTTATTCAGATTTCAGAAACAGATCTTTTTTATAAATAAAAACAATCAAATGATCTTTTGTTAATGAACTATAAATAAAAGAATACTTGCTATTGAAGAAGTCTGATAACTGGGGACCACATAATTGGTGCAGAACAGAATGACTTAGCTGACAATCCCTATATTCCATTTAATAAAACTTCTATTCTAATATGAAAAAAAACTCATTCCATCTAGATGTGCTTGTTCTTGTTCCTGAGCCCCCAGGTCATTGCCTTCATTCAAGACCCTTCTTCCAAGATCAAACTCTGTTGTATGAAGTTATTGAGCATCATGAACAGATTGGAATTTGTTGGATATATAGTAACACATTATCTTTAATTTCTAAGTGTTAATACTAGAACATAACATGTTCATTTTCCACTCAAAGAAATGTATACCTTGCTCTACATTGCTGTAAAAGGGAGTTATTTTATCAAATTTCTATTCAAACTGTTTTGTTTTTTGTTTTTGTTTTTGGTTTTTTTCATTCTTGTCACATTTCATTTAGGAGACTTGAGGAGATGTTACATAGTGGAGAAATGTCTATTATTTATTATTTTTTGTGATGCCTTACCTTAAAATGTAATTGTAATTGTTTTCACAAGTTATGAATGTGCTTTTTCAGGTTTTGGATTGGGTACTGGGACATAATGAAGCACTGTTTAGGCGGGCTCAATTAAAAGCCCTTGTCTCTATTCACAGCCAAGAGGTAAGCTTACTTGAAACGGGAAGTAGAGGTGATGTGTCAGAAATAATGCTTGACAACTGTACACTAATGTCTTAAGGAATAGTAGCAAACTAGCAATACAAAAATTTTRTATTAAAGTTATTTGCTCCTTTTATTGTACTATCTTATGATTCTAGGCTGGTAAGGGGGGTGAACTCACACATGATGAAACAACAATTATTAGTGGAGCTCTAGACCTAACTGAGAAGGTATGCACTATAATTTAGCCTTATCCTGCTTTTCTTCATATCTAAAAATCTCCAATATTTTGGACATTTCATTTTGGAGAAGATAAAGATTTGTAACTTGTTGTTAATATGATAGAAATAGAATTTTCACCATGCAATATGTGTATTTGTGGGTAGAATGGCAGGCATTGATGATGGTATTTTAATTTTGTTTTTGGTGCATCCATTTGGTGTTATAGTATTATGTAAAATAATCAATATCATGTGCATTATCAGTATATTCTAGTTTGGTAGCTAACTAGCTACTTCAACTTCTTGGTGAGCTTTCAAGAACTTCCAACTTGAATCCCTATAAAGATGTTAATCTTTCCCCTCTTTCCTGAGTAAAAAAGAACAATACTTTCTATTTTCTTTGGTCACTTGAGACTGATTTTGATAATTTGACTAGGCAAAAAATCTTAGAACTTGCCTTAATTCCTATCATCAAGTGTAATCAAAATTTAGTCCCAGGTGGGGAAGGTTAGTGTTTAAGCTGGTTCAAAGGTATCTTTATGTCTCAACTGATATAATCAAACTCAATGTGGCTTGGATTGATTTAAACCTTGTTAAGTAATTAACTAGTGATATCAGTACTGGGAAGATTTGAATCTTTCTGTTGGCTTAGGTGTAATGTGGTCATGTTTATGAAGATGGGGATGTGAAGAGCAAAAATAAAGTAATCAAAACACTGAAACTAAGCTGGCAACATATAAAAGCTTCATGCCATCWTGTTTATGAAGATCAATGTTAGGTGTAATGTGGCAGTAACTATTAATATCTTTTATTTTTGTTTAACAGACATTGTGGTTTGGCCCATCGTTACCATCATTATATGGTTAACATCTAATTGGAAGATGTGTACTACCATGTTCTTCATGCAATTGGATCAGTCTTTGGTTGTTTCACTTTGCACTGTGTTTGTCATCTGAGACTTTAGCTGCCAACTTATCTTTTTGTGGACAGACTGCTGAGGAAGCTATGACACCTATTGAATCAACATTTTCATTGGATGTGAATTCAAAATTGGACTGGTGAGTTTGCGTCCAAAGTGTTCTTTAATGTTTTGGCTTATCGAATTATCCATATTGTAAGGTGAATGTAGCATTCAGATTTCATATTTATCACATTGATGTGCAAGTTACCCCCCCCCCCNCCAATTGGTAACAGATAAGAAATATCGTTACTAAAGAAAAATTGTAAGGTAAAGCAGCAGCAACATACACTCTACCAAGGGAGAAAAACCTGAGCCAAAAGGCTCAGCTAGCCTATATGACCTCCAAGTACCCATAGGTCTACCCAGGAAGAGCAAACCCTGATGTATCAATTGCTGATTGACTGTTTCTCTTGCAAAAGACTCTGATTGACCTCTTCCATCCCATGAACAAAAGCCATTTGTGTTCTTTAATTTGTTATGAATGGAAAAGGTTTTAAATTAAAGAATATTCTTTTTCCCATGTGGCAGGGGACTATTGAGATGAAACTTGAAACATAGAAAGGTGTCATGAACAAAGAAATGTCATGTTTTTTGGGTTATTTCCACAACTTCCATTTGTCAAATTATGCTGAAACAGGACTGGATATTAACTTATTTGTCAAATTTTGCTGAAAAGGACTGGATATCTGCTTGTCTAAAAGAAAACCATCTTTCTGTATTACCTATGAAAGAACTCTATTTATATATTTTTATGAAGTAGACTTTTCTATAATTCATAAGTATATTGTTACCAAAAGATCAGTGTAGCTGATTTGGTAATCTTATGGGGTGAAATTGGATAGATTTCAACCTTGTATTCTTTTAGTTTTATTAGGGAAATTTATGGATGTAACATCAAAAGAATAGTATAATACCTACTAGCCACATGCTTTTGAGAGTACAAGCAAATCTTTAGTTTCTCCCAATAGCCATGAAAAGAAAAAATTGAAGTGGGAGGTGACTGGAAGTGGTCGGGGGTGGTTGGAGGTGACTGTCAAAGAAAGGTTGGTTAGCGTCTTAGCGAAACTACGATGTTCGGTGAACTTGCTCAATGACCTAGATCAGGTCTGTTTGTACAAAATAGAGGAGGACAACGTCTTGTGACTCAACCCCTGGTGGCAAGGCAACTTCAGGAAGCCATAGCCACATTGAGGAACAAAAGATTGAAGTGAGGATTTTAGAAACCATTGGAACTATAGGGAAGTTGCAAGTTTGGATGTTTGGCTCGAAGAAGGTGACTGTGAAGTGGTTAAAGGGAATTTAACAATGTATATTCTCTCTAGCAAGGCTGAAGAGCGCAAAGGAGGCGCATAGTGGGCAAGTTTGAAAGTGACCCTCCATTACTGATGTCGTCAATAGGACCTATCGTGAAGCGGAAGTTGGGGCTTTTTCTTTGTTCGGAGGTTCAAAAGCTGTCGGAAGGCATGTTCTTGATTTTGTTGCCCTTTGAGAAAGAAGCAAACAAGGTGGTTCATGATTGGCCTTAGTGCCTGATTATCGATGGTTTCCGATTCTAGATTGGGAGGTGTTACTAGGGGTGGGAGCTATAATGGAGGATGAATGGGATGTGTCCTCGTGTTGGATGACTTTTTTGGATTGCTGATGCACTTGTAGAGTACTAAATAAATACAAACTGTGGGGGACTTATGTGGAGGCTTTGTCATAATAGATAACTTGTATTTGGCCAAAGAGAGCTGTGAGTGGGTTCAGTACTTCAGTGGAAGGGCTCGATCCTGACAACAGTCAATGTGGCCGCGAAAGGAATCCTCCATGTTATTGCCATATGGTTGAAATTTCTATCGGGAGTCCTTTCGGTTTTGGAAAATTTGGGTAAGAAAGAAGTCATTACAGTCCAAGAGGCGGCAAGATGGCTTAGTGAGTCAGAGGGGGAGTGAAGGATTGTGGATGTAGGCCAACCCTAGATTCCATCATGGCCAAATGGAGCCTTTAGAAAATAGTTGGAGGGGCTATAGTAGGGGAGTAGAAGGAGAGACTAGTGAGAAAGGAGATCCAGATCTGACCGTTTCTCATTTTCCCAGACATCAGACATGGAGCTGCCTTGGGGAAAGTTATTGGAAGAGGGGACAATGATGCAAGGTGTTGGTTCAGGTTCTAGCTTAGATTCAGAATCTGACCCGGTTTTGAGCAGGGGTAGCTTCTCTTGAGGTGGGTTTGGAGACCGAGAGGCTACATTAGTGCCACATGGTGCCCTAGGCACAGTCGAAAGTTAGCAGAGTGGTGAAAGGAATCTTAATTCAAATTTTGAATTTCAAAATGTCTTGAAAGACATCCTCAAGGCTTTAATCCGAGAAGCTATGGCAGGATCAAGTGTTTCCATTTCAGGCCCGTCTGATTCAAGCCCGCCTCTCACCACTCTATCCCTTCAAACCTCTCACAATAATCCTATCTGGGCCCAAGCCCAGCCCACCTCTTCTCAGATGCAGGCCCATTAGAAGAACAACTCTAAGCTGACCCAACCCAACCTTTGCATCACCAAAATTACCCAACCACTCCCCCAATCTAACCACTCTTCCAAGCCCCCCTCCCCACATAACCAAAACTTTCAAGTCTTTGAGAGGAAGAAATGAGCTTCACTTTCATTGGAAGCAGGCAGCAGGGGAGATCGAAGATTGGCGGAAGGTAACCTTTCCAAGTTTGGTTCCTCTGGTTTTCCTCAGTTGCATTTGGTGGCCCCCTATGGTTCGGATGCACTCATGGACTGTTGTAGGCATATTCCCTGCTCATTGCCCATAGGCTTGAAACCAGGGTGACTTGCGAACTGCCAACTATCAGGTTTGAAGCCTCTAGTTGTTGAGCAGTCCTCATCGGAGAACCAAGCTTGTTGATCTATAATCCCTATCGACAACGAGAAAGATGAGGAAGAGGAGGAAGTGCTGACGAAGTGGGGAAACGATAGTGGAGATCTTGAAGAAAGGTTAGGGGTTCAGGGTAGAATGAACAGGCTCCCTTGCCCCTATTGTGGGTAGATGAAGTGGAAGAGCAAGATAGAGAAGCTTGTACAAAGGTGGAAAGCATCTCAGAGTGGGTAAGATTGAATATTGGTGATATTAGCAAATTCTTGGGTGTGTCTGTTGAAGGGCATGAAACAGAGGTAGTGGCCTTATTTGATACTATAGAGAAGAAATGTGGAGAAAGGAGATGAATTTCTCACTGACTTGACCAAGAGAGCTCCTTGGTTGTGGAGAGAGAAAATGAGATGTGACAATGAGCGAAGGAGGTGCTTCGTCTAGTTGTCCAAAGCCAACCAGTTGGTTGGTAAGGTCTCCTGCTGGTTGCAGCAGAGACTTGGGATCGAATCCCGCCTGCACTTGGGTTGAGGGGGTTATGGGTTGGGGGATGGGCTACCCCCATTGTCTATCCCTTCAGGAGATATAAAAAAAAAGGGCATTGCAATCAACAACCTTGGCAGGAGTGGCAATAAGGGCAAGAGGAGCTCAGCGCGGGGGGGGGGGGG